TGTGGGCAAATGTCCGTGTGACACTGAGTTCGATTGGGAAGTCCTTAGCTTCGACCTTGATGAACCTGATTAGTCTGAAAGCTAGCTGGAGCTCCATGAAGGTGTTCAGGGGCTCCCTGAGATGCTCGGCATGCTCTAGGGAAAACATGGTAGTCACTGATGGTTCTGGAACGGAAAGTTCGGGACATTCCCAGTCGACATTGAAGCTAGGAGCGCCTAGGGGGTTCTCGAGCCGGTCTATTTCGTCGGCGTTCTGACTCATCGTAAGGCGTGTCGAGCGTTGCCTAAGATCCAATTTCTTTGGATGGCTTTGGTGTGGCGCGTGGTCCGGGAAATGGAATCGAGTAAAGGATTGCGGAACCTGCCAGGCAAAGGACTCGAAACCTGGGCCCCAAATACCAGCAAATTTCTTTCAAAAGAAGAACAAAGCGGTACGAACTATGAATCATCCAGGGCATCTCTGGGTTCGTCGATTCCTTTCAAGCTCCTGGCCGCAGCTGCAAGGGTCGTTCAATGCCTGGGCCAGGGAACCAACAGCGCGTTCCATCCTGCCCGCCATTGTTAGTGACCGCCTGTGCCGCTAACGAGAGAATCCCCAACGGCGCCAGTCTTTGTCCCCGCGCCTTGAAGCTGCCGTTGGCTGACCAGAGTGAGGGCAGCGTGGAATGTGTTGGCAAGAAGTGCGGTCGGGTTAAGGAACCGTCAACGTCGTGTCGTCGATCATCGGATTCGGACGAAGCGAGTCGCTCAGCGGGCTTAGATACGTTGCTAACTCGACTAGTCCAGTACTGCACCAACCGGAGTTAGTGCAGTATCAAGCCCTGCTCCGCTGCCTCCCGCTCGGCGGCGGTTCGCTGTTGTAGGTGACCACTTGGCGGGGCGTTTGCTAATTCCTTGTCGATGGGTGACATCGCCGTGGGTAAATAGCGATGAGGTTTCCTGGAAAACATCTCGACATGGTGATCGGATGAATGCGATGGGAAAGATACGTCGAGATTTAGCGATAAAAACTTGAACAAGCTTCCGTGTTGGGGCAGACAATTGCTTTGGAAATTAGGAGAGGAGAAAACGAGCACCAAAAACAACGTAACGTGCCTTACTACAAAGGGAAGACCTGCCTTGCCGCATCGGCCGGTCTCTTCTGAACATCCAAGGAGCCATCAATCAAAAACCCAACCCAACCAAACCGAACCTCCCGTCATTTGCGCCTTTAAAAGATGGAATGGAATGTTCAGCGATGGCCGAAGGTTCTCGTTGCAAGCCGAATTCATTCCCCAATCCACGGCAGTAATCCTTCGACCTTTCACTTTCCGTACATTTCCACTTCGGTGCCCCTTCGTCAACCTGCAACTACATCGACTTCCTCGAGCTTGAAATAGTACCACGGACATGCCTTCATTTGTCGGTGCTCGTGCATCTCCGCCTGGAAAATATATGCTTCATCTGGCAGAGGAATAGGATAAATTTTTAAAATTTGAATATAGTTTGTTACGTTGAGGTTGGTAAAGTGCCCATCTCCAACCTCCGGCTCTTCGTCCGCTTGAAATCTCCACAAACGGCCACGGGAGCTCCGATTCGACCAACTCCTTCACGGCCCCACCTAGCCCGTCACTCGCGGCCGATCGGCCCCAGGCTCTCGCCCGTGCAGCCGTGCTACCGTAGCGGTGTGGGGAATCGGACGGATGGGATCCCGGTCCCGTCCGGAATAGACCAAGCTGCTTTTTGGAGCGCTGTTTAAAGATGAGGAATTTTAAAACAGAGACATCGAAGAGAGCAAGTTGTCATTCTGTTGGACAATTAGAATAAGTGAACAGGGATGTCAAATACACATTAATCCAGATCAAATGTCAACACTCTGACATAGCCGATACCACCCATTACCATAAAAAATTCTTCAACCACCTATCCCATTCACGTCACTCTTGTCTTTACCAGTCATCAACACCATAACAGAGCTCAATCGGTCGATAACAAGCTTGCGCAAGACCATTCCTTCATTCTCTTCATTGTCATCATCTGTTCAACCATCAAGGCTAACATCCCAAGCCAAAACCAAACAACAGATCCCAAAAGCAACGCCCATATCCCATCAAAAAAATATAAAACAAATTAAAAACAATTTTGGTATGCACTGTTATAAACGCCCGGACACGCCAGGCCTGTTGTGCAACCCCTGAGTCCCGCTCGCTTTGCCTTTGCGCCTCCAATATGCATTTGTTCGTTGTATACCATGTATGCGTTCCATCATCTCCTCGTCTGTCTCCCATAACCCTTGCTGAATGTTGCCGGTGCTATGGCTTGACAATCCTTTCGTACTCATCGGCTGCTTCACCCTCGACTTGTGGCTGATCGGTCGTCACACAGGGAGTCCTGGGACTAATCTCCCCGTCGCTAACCGGCACCGGCACCGGCACATCCCCATTCGCATTCACCTCCTCATCAGGGACACCCTCCCCCACACCACCATTATACAGATCTTGTCTTCCTTCCTGACTAGCCAGCCACCCAGGCTGCTCATCCTTGGGCGTAGGCGGCGGCCCCTGATGAGGTCTCTCCGTCCTCTCCACCGCGTCGGGAATCTTCACACACGCCGGCTCCTCAAACGTGCCCTGCGCCACCCCAGCATTATGTACCTCGTGCCCTTGCCTCCCCGGTAAAGTATTCCACCCCTTCTCATCCCTCTCTTCACCACCGAGCGCCATCCCCCGCTTGAGAAACCCATCTTCACTCTCCCTCCTAGCCACGGCCACAGTTGCGCCCTCACTAACACTCAGCCGATGCAACTTCTCATCGCAACTCTTCAACTGCTGCAGCCGCTCATCGTACGCCTTGCGGTAGTCGACCTTCTCGAGGAGCCAAGTGGCCAAGACCTTGATCAGGTACTTCCTGTCGACCGGCTTGGGGACGTAATCGTTCATGCCGAACTCTAGGCACTTCTCACGGTCCCCTTTAAGGGCGTAAGCAGTCATAGCAATAATCGGCACCTTCACGTTAGCGTCACGGATTCGCTGCGAGGCTTCTTGTCCGTCCATGATGGGCATATTGATATCCATCAGCACGATATCATAGCCTACAGGTTTGCCCGTGACCATCTTCACGGCCGCGGCGCCGTCGGCTGCCAGGTCGATGCTCTTGAAGCCAAGGGAGCGCAGCATGCCGAGCATGACCTTTTGGTTGATAATGTTGTCTTCTACAAGCAAAACGGTCTTGCGGCCGGCGACGGAGGCGAGGCGTTTTTGAAGAATCGTGACGTCGGGTTGAATATGCGAGATGGGTGAGCCGTCCTTAGCGGCCATCTGGTGCTTCCAATCCTGGATCTGTTCGAGGCTCTTGATCTTCTTGAAGCGCGCGGTAAACCAGAAGATGGAGCCGTGGCGTTCGGGGTTGGGGCGGTAGCCAATGCGGCCACCCATGAGTTCGGCGAGAGATTTGGCGATGGAAAGGCCGAGACCAGTGCCCTTGTAACGCTTGGTGGTGGTCAAGTCGAACTGGCTAAAGGGAGTGAAGAGCGAGGCGGAGGCGGCTTCCCGGATGCCAATGCCCGTGTCGATGACTTCGGTCAAGAGGGTGTAGCTGTCACTGTCTTCGGAGTGGACCGAGGCTCTGACTCGGATGCTTCCTTTGTCTGTGAACTTGGCCGCGTTGCCGACAATGTTTTGGACGATTTGGCGGTAGCGGAGAGGGTCACCCTGGACGGACTTGGGAAGGTTGAGGGCGAGGAAGAGCTCGAAGTGGACGGCTGGGGGTAACGTGGTCTGGACACTGCGCACCACTGATGTGATGATGCTGGCAACACCCACCACGTCGGAGCTGACTGAGAAACTGCCCGATGCTAGCTTTGAATAGTCCAGGATGTCGTTAATGACCTGCAACAATATCTGACCCGACTCGTCCATAATGTTGACAATGTCTCGCTGCCTCTCCGTAAGAGGCGAGTCAAGCAGCAACGCGCAAGCCGAAAGCATACCGTGCATAGGGGTACGGATCTCGTGGCTCATGTTGGCGAGGAAGTCGGACTTGAGCTTCTCGCTCTCCTCGTAGGCAGCGATCAAGCGGGACTCGGACGCCTTACGCTCCGTTAAGTCACGCGTGACCTTGCCAAAGCCGACATGGACGCCATTCTTGTAGACGGCTGTGATGACGACGTTGGCCCAGAACCGGGTGCCGTCCTTTTTGTAGCGCCAGCCCTCGTCCTCCACACGGCCTTCGCGGAGACAGATGTCAAGTTCCATCTCTGGCTTCTTGATGTCGAGGTCTTCCTTGCCGTAGAAGATGGAGAAGTGTTTGCCGATGATCTCGTCCCGGGTGTAGCCCTTGAGCAATTGCGCTCCTGTATTCCACGTCGCAATATGACCCTTGGTATCCAGCAGGAAGATGGCATAGTCCTTGAGCGCTTGTACGAGAATGCGGAAGGCTTCGTCGGTGGAAAGGCCCGGTTGCACAAGTTCGTTGTCGAGGACGTCCGAGGTAGGGCGCTCGTGCCATTCGAGGTAGATGGAGACCAGCTCGGCGCCTCGAAAGATGGGAATCACGCGGGCGCGACAGGTGAAGGCACTCTTGACCGTGATGGCTTTGGAGGTGCGCTCAGATCGGGATGCGACGGCATCGTCGACAGCTTCGGCAATGTGTTTTGATTTGCTGGCGCCGGTTTCGCGGACCTGGCCGTCGAGAAAGGGCAGTAGGAACTTGCCGACGCAATCCTTTTCGGTAACGTGCCAGTCTTGGCAGAAGCGTTTCGAGACCCTGGTGATGCAGCACGACGATGACAGGAGGAGTAATGGGATGGGCGAGTAGTCGAAGATGAGGCTCATGTCGGGAGCCGCAAAGGGATGCGTTGGCGGGACATCTTCTTGGAGGGTGACGGTGACGTTGCTGTTGCTGCTGTCGTCGACGGACGAGTCTGTTGTTGTCGTGGTTGCGATGCTCCAGGCGGGGTCATTTTCATCCTCAATGTCCTGGGTGGTTGGTGTCGAAGCTGAAGCTGAGGCCGAAGCCAAGATGTGGTGGGAGTCGTCGTCGTTGGAGTGTTCCTGAGTCAGGGACTGGAGACTGTCCGAATTGTCGGGTCCGGGGGCGGAGTCGTTGATATCGGAATGGGATTCTTTGTCTTTTCCATCCTCATGGCCGCCAATGACCATGTTGAGCAGACTGTTTGCCATGTCGGCCACGATGGTGGTGTTGGCTTTGGCCGTGGAGAGATGCATTTTTTCGGTGCCAGTGCCAGAGTCGATTTGCCGATCTCGAGATCCAAGGTGCCAACCCGCGACAAGTGATTTGCTGCAAGCAATTAGGGACCTCCAAAATGGTCTGATTTGTGCAGTAGGCGGTTGTCTGGCGGTCTATTAACCGCAGGCGGGTGGGCGCAAGGCAGAGATGGCCTGACCTTTGCAGCGTTCCCAGGCACGGTACAGGCAACCTAAGTGCAGGCTACTGGAAGTTGCGGGGGTTGGTCAATAGTTTTAGAGGGAGAAACCAAGACGGGATGGGAGTGGGTCGGGTCTCGGAAGAGAGAGAGGAAAAAGAGGACGAAAGGGCAAGAGCAGAGGACAAACTTCGGAAAACGGGAAAGTGAAAACGAGAGACTGGTCTTTGTGTCGCTACCGGAGAACTCGAATGAGGCGAAAGGGAGGGGGAAAAAAAAAGGAGACGGACGGGGTGAACATGGTTGACGGGATGACATGGAGGACGGGAAGGACCAAAGAGTGCAAAAAACGGACGGGAGGAGAGAGGGCTCACCCACCACTCACACACGGGACTCTGGACGCAAGCTGTGAATGGTCAGTGCTTGGCTGCCACTGTGATTATCACCCGCTGATTGTCACTGAGAACACCGCCCTGTCACGGGCACAACCGTCCGGTACCGATGGAATGGTCAAGTTTTGAAAGTGAGTGGTGACAGTGACACGGAAATACCAGGAGAATGTGCAACAAATCCTCCAACAAGTAGCACCAAACATGGTATTATACCCGTGTGATATCAGTCGTTTAAGACTCGTGGCAAATTGGAGGAGCAAAGAGACCGGCAAGAGGGAAGACGGGTTGACGGGATCAACAGGGCCTGCGCGATGCAAGACCGCAAACTGACTGATTTTAGTACACTACACTAATCACTGCCCTGCGGCAATACTGGGATTAACCTCGGGCAATATCTATAAGACAGATTCTCATGATTCCCATGCCGTCGGTAAACCGGTAAAGAGGTAAATGATAGACACAGATAGGCCCATCTAGACCCGGTTGTATCAGTCTGGTCATGCATTTATTTAGCTGTCAAAGTCATGCTGTCAAATCGGTTGCTAATGCCATCTCGATGGTACCTCTAGGTCCCGATGCACATGCCGACTGCAAAAAATGTTATTTCGGAATCCTGTCCCTGTCAATGATGCATTTGCATTTGCATTTGCCATTTGACAGGCGACAGACAGCTGCTGCATGGAACCCTCCAGTCCTCTGCTGACACATTCATTGGAGTGGTCCAGATCCTAGCCGGATCTGAGGGCGATCGTCGCTGCGCATCTTCAATGGTTGAATGGATCATTGAGTGGCATTCTGGTTTTGTGGTGACTGTCCGTTCTTGTTGGTCGCAAAAAGTGAGGGACGTGTGTTGGCAAAAAGAAGGAACAGGAAAACGAAAAAAAATGATGCGTTTGGTTTGTGATGATCTGGGCTGGGGAAGGCTGTGCATAGGTATCGAAGAAATTTCAACATTTCAACATTTGCCCAAACTGCCTGACAAAGTTCAAAGAGGTTCAAGAGCCCCTCCTCACTTACCCTCGGGATCGACGATGTCTTGCAGCTGTCCTTTTGTGTGTCACCTCTTCCGTTCCCAATGCTGGCAGGTGGGGGGCCAGTGACAGTTACCATGACGTCATATTCCTTTTTTTGCAGGGTCATCTGCAGTCCTTGACCGCTTTCACTCCGCGCTTCGGATTGCGTTGACTCCTTCAGCCCAAGCCTATCTGGGCCTAGCCATTCGCTAGTGTCTCGAATCTTTTCCTATCGCGCAGTGCCAGGCTAGCCCGGAAAGGTGATGGTCTCTTCTGTGAGATTCCACCTCTTTTCTCCATTCGTCACTGATGCCCAGAACCCCTCACGAATCCCAAAACATGAAGCTATTCCCAAACTGCAATCTGTCACAACCAACAAACTTCATGATGGGGTTGTCCATGGGAAGCGGACCCCCTTTGCCCTCGTATTTTGGATACACCAACCACCTTGGCTGGCAGCTGGCAGGTTGCTAGCGGTAGCGGTCACGCCCAACGCGACACCAACCTCCTTCACCCGTTCACGATGCCACGCTTCTGTTCGCGTCTCCATTCACCCGTGTTGTCGTGGTGTTGTTGTTATTGACAATGGGCCAGCTGACACTGCGCCAACGGAGCAACCAGTCATGACCATAATCCTACAATGCGACAACAAAGCAGCAAGGTTCAGGATCCTTTCCAATCGGTACAACTCTCGCTGCTGATAATCACTATCTGAACAATTGCCAAGTTAATAGATCTCGATCCCTTTACACAGCCTTTCCCCAAGCCAACCCAGAGCTTCCACCGCCAGTCCTTCCATCCCAACCCTCAACCACCAACCCTCAACCACCAACCCTCAATCACCAACCCTCAACCACCAACCCTCAATCACCAACCCTCAATCACCAACCCTCAACCACCAACCCTCAACCACCGCACAACCACACCAGAGACAGACCGCCACCCCCTAGATATGGACCTACTTCATAACAGTCATGGTATGCACCAACCTCAACTTGCCCCCCTCCACCCTAAACTCATGACTATCCGGCTCCGCCCCCGCAAAGTCAAAAAACACATCCACCGCTCCCAGCACCTCATCAATCACATACCGTCGATTCACATTCTTGATCCCACTCGGCACGCCCACGTTACAACTCGGCTGGATATAACTACCTCCCTCCAGTCTCGCGCAGGGACTTCCCCAGGGGACTTGCACTTTCTTGTCGTTGAACAGGTCCAGATACGCGTCGCCAGCGGCTTGGATCACGGCCCGGGTGTCGCGCTTGGCAAGGGGGATCTCGTCCCAGAGTCCGGAAGAGGATTCTTGCGAGGAGTATTTGAGTGTTGAGGTCGGGTCGAAGAGCCAGTCGCCTTTTGAGGTTACTATGGTTTCAATTTTGGACAGGGACAAAGTGTCGGGGGAGAAGCGCAGTTGCGTGCCGATGACGTGTTGTTTGTTGGTCTCGGTGGTGATGAGCTCGGTGAAGGTGGCGCATTGGGTGGTGTCGTAGGTGCTGCGGCTGTGGTCGATGCGGAGAGCGGTGGACAAGATGCCGGTGGTGAGGGTGGCAGTCTTGAAGTTTTGGGTGTAGGTGACTGAGGCAGAAGAGTTGGCGAGGAGGAGGGAAGGGGTTCCGGCCTTTTGCGCGGCGACGTAGGAGGCGGCTTGGGCTTTGAGGAAGTCGCGGTCGCAGGTGGATGCGGCTGCCTGTCTGGGAGCTTCAGCTGTGGGAGCCCCGAGGGCCGCCAAGGGGGTGAGGGAGAGTACAGTGGTGGTGAGGAGCATCATGATGCTGATGGTCTGGTTTTGACGCCTTGAAGGGAAGCAAAAACAGATGCGGAGGCTTCACAATACTGGGGCTTCAAGTGAACCCATCACGTCGTCTTTCCCCGACATCAAGCTCCATTTTATACACTGAATCTTGGATGAGTATCCAAACTGCCGGGCTCGAGCGAGATTTACCAGTTGCCAGTAGCAGTTGGGATATTGCACCTGTGCGGGGATGCCCGTCTCATTTATACTCGGCACTCGCTTCAGCCATTCACGATCGTTTTACCTTGGCAGGGAGTTTTCGGCCAGTGTTCAGCCAAATTGCAAGCTATAGCTATAGCAGCTCTAGTAACGACGGTTGAGCTCAAGGCTGAGCAGCTCGTTTCCTTATCAGGCAATGCGATCGTCCTCACCCTTCCATATGGCACGGAAGCACCCGTCCGCTTCTGTCGATCAGAGCATGGCGATGTTTCACAGCTGATCGACATTTGCTCGAATTGTTGACGCCTTATCAGGTACGCACGACGTCTTCTACTCACATCAGTGGGACTGGAGTCCGGATAATTCTCGTTTCGTCACCGGGAGCATAGGCTGGGTAACGCTTTTTGGTTCGTTTGGTGCATGGCAGGAACAGCGAACACAACCGTTGATCTTACCTAAGGTCTGGAATTGCGTATCTGGCGCTGAGAGCATCCAGTGATATTCCTCCCGCTGTTTCCCCGCAGAACCTTCCGCGTTGACACGGGACAGCGGCCAACTGACTACAGAAAGGAATGTAAAATATCTGGTTGGCCAATCACGAGGTCGCTCCTTCCCAGCCGAGCCAGCGTCTCAGTATAAACTGCAATGGAAACCCCCAAATATCACCAATATCGCGGCTCATGAAGCGGGGTCGGCAGTTCAGCCTGTATCTTATTGGTGACCTTTGTCGCAAAACATCTTTGAGCCGAGATGGTCAGATTCGAGCTTCGGCTGCCAGAATAACAGCCGGCCGATGTCGTCCTAATCCTCGCAGCTTTCACCCTTCATACCTCCAGCACCTCTCTTAATACCCTCGGCTACCTACTCAACCTGTCACCGCTGCACAAACTCGCTCCCTGGACAAGACGTCCAGACCACGAAGTCACGCCCCGTCACGCATCGCGACCACAACACATCGCACCATAACTACAATACCTCAAATCACAGCTATAACACCTCCACCCCAATACCTTATCCCATCATGGAAAACAAAAACACAACCCCCTCCGGCCCCTTCCCCCCCACCGGCCTCCACATCCTAATAGTAGGCGCTGGCTTTGCCGGCCTCTCCGCAGCCATCGAATGCGAGCGCAAAGGCCACCGCGTGACTTTATTCGAGAAAGTCTCTTCCATAGACGAAATCACTCGGTACGGGGATATCATCTCGTTCGACCCCAACGGGTCACGGGCGTTTGAGAAGTGGGTTTTCCCTTCTGGCGAGTCGGTGGCTGAAAAGATGGAAGCGATTGCTCGACAGACTACCTGGTTGGATCTTTTTCATTACAAGGGGGAGTTTGTTACAAGGCAAAGTTTCAAGGAGGAGAAGGATATGGGTTGGGAGGGGAGGAGGATTAATGGCCATAGGGGGGAGTTGCATCGGTTGATTTGGGAGTATGTGAGGACTAGGAAGGGGGTGGAAGGAAGGGGGATTAAGGTCAGGTGGGGGGTGAGGGTCAGGGATTACTTTGAGTGTGATGGGACCGAGAGTGGAGGGAAAGGGCAAGGGGAAGAAGGGGAAGAAAGGGAAAGACCGCATGCGGGTGTGATCATCACGGGAGCAGATGGCGAGATTGAGAAAGTGACAGGTGACGCCGTTCTAGCCGCTGAAGGCGTTAGGTCAAGAGGTCGGAAGTTAGTCCTTGGCCTTGAGGAAGACGAACAACCAAAGTCTTCCGGCTACGCAGTTTACAGGGCTTGGTTCCCTTCTGCGCCTGTTATCGCAAAGAACCCCATCACCAAACATCTCGTGGAAAACGGGGATCAACACCAGGGCTTCATCGGGCCAGACATTCACTTCCTTGTCTCGAGCATCAAGAAGGGAAGCGAGATAAACTGGGTGTTTACCCACATCGACGACGGCAACATTGAAGAATCTTGGCAATTCCCCGGTAAACCCGAGGAAGCATTGACCTACCTGGAAGGATGGTGTCCCGTCGTCAGAGAACTAGTGAAAGCTACACCGCCGGGGAGACTAATCGATTACAAACTCGTCTACCGCGAACCGCTGCCTACCTTCGTCAGCCCAAAAGGAAGGATCGCGCTGATAGGAGACGCCGCTCACCCGTTTTTGCCTACGTCTATTCAGGGAGCAAGTCAGAGTATCGAAGATGGATCAGTGGTGGCTGCTTCTCTTGAACTTGCCTGCCATGCAAACAAGAGGGGCGAGATGGCGAAACAGAAAGTGGTCCCCACGGCGCTTAAAGCTTTTGAAAAGCTGAGGTACGAACGGGTGCATAAAGCGCAAGCCAATGGGCCGAAGATGAGGGAGCGGTGGCATAAGGCTGATTGGGACGGGCCGGAGGGGGTATGGAATTGTCCGGAGAGGATATGGTTGTTGAGGGAAGGATGGTTGTTGGGGTTTGATGCTGAGAGGGATGTTTATCGGAGGTGGGCTGAGGTGGTTGCGGAGATACAGAAGAAGGAGAAGGGAGAGAATGTGGTGAAGTTGGATGGGAAGAGTGGGAAGGCCAAGTTGTGACGAGAAAAGGAGTAGTGAGAACGGCGAGGGTGGCGTGTCGCGTGGCGGTTTTGTTTCCTTTGACACTCGGCCGAGCCTAGTCGAGATATTGACGACGGCGAGAGGCTCCGGGGGGCTATGGTGGTGATGAACAACTGCATTTCAGTCCGGGATTTGTGTCAGTCGCATGTCAAGAGGGAATGCGGAAGGGATTGACCATGACGGCAACAGACATGATGAAGTTGGGGCCGCGGGAAAGTTTTGACGAGAGCAATGGCTGATAAAGCCGGCAGTGGCGGTTTCATGGGAGATTAGAGCTTACCATGGGGAACTGGTGAATGGTGACACAGGTAGATAACACCACATGCACTTGTCCGATGGTAGGAGCGCTTACAATCGGGCTCATTCGGGTTGTCGCCGTCGTTATTTCCCTTCAAAGACAGTCTTGCGAGACAACTGGCATATCTGCGCACCGCCAAGTTGGAAAGAACTGTCAACCTGATTAAGTCACTCTGTGTTCTTGCTCAGCACTGACAACGGAACTTTTCAACATCACGGTTCTGGGTTTGACAGCATCCCAGAGTTGGTCCCAAATGCTACCCAAGACCAATTTACCCGCCTGGAAGAATACAGTTACCAAAAAAAAGGGTCCTTCGCTCCATGTGGTTGACCGTCGCCGTCAGAGAACATTCCATGATCCATGACGGACATCGTTCCTTCTCCCCAGCTGCCCGGAGACGAAAGCCCTTTCCTCAAATTCGGAACGACCAGGTCCATCCAGCCCAGGCTCCAGTCAGAACTCAGAAGCCGGTCCGGTCCGACCTCCAGCTAGCTAGTTTTTGTTCTTGTGAATGTCAAATGCCCGTGGGCAAAACCGTTCTAGCCCCGATGATCGTTGCCTCCCAACCTGCTGCCAACAGCGACCAAAATGATGTTCCAGCGTTCCCATTCCAGAAGTTTTCGGTCTTCCTCTACCGTGAATTTCCTATTCGGGACGTTTCACCAAGTCACAAGCTCAACCGGTCCCTGCTAGCTCCCCTGTCCCAGTGGCTAGGACCGCTCTGCCAAGAGCCCTTCCAGAACCGTGAATTTCTGTGAGAGAAGCCCAAGGACGGTATTGAGTCGCATTGACAGCTATTTAGCCGCCGGGTTAATCGGCATTTGTGATGCTTTCCTTCCTGAAGCTTTCAATTGCGGCGTTGATTTCCCCCGCAATTCAACTGGTGCTGGGGGTGGTGTGGTATGTGATGCTACGCTGATGCTTGGAGGCTCTAGCCCGGTTGTGAACGACAACGACAACTCTTTGGGGACACTTTTACCAGGGCTGATGATGCGTTGAGAAGTTGGGAATGAAGATAGTGAACCTGTTTGGGAAACTCGGTATCATACAGGTAGCCATCATCTCACTGGGTCCAAAGATGAAACGTGTTGATGTCCTATGCTTCGATATCGAGGTTCTGTTCGGACTTCGGCCTCGCCGTGACACATCTGGACATGCTAAGCATCCTGGACATATGGCCATCGACTAGGCAAGATAGTCTGACGGATGGATCTTGCCTCTTGGCTTGGCAACCCCGGATTCTGCTAGTTCACCTATGGGGTAAAAACAAAAGAGGACGTCAACGGGAACTCATCGGCCAGCATATCCGGATCGCGGGGAAAAAAACAGACAAGAATGGCTAAACGCGTTGGATTTCCCTGTTGCAAGACGAGCCCATCACTCCGCCAAAAAAGCAATCTTGGCGACTTCTTTCCGATCACTGAATGTCAAGAACACAAGCGGTCTCGATCAAAGCAAGATCGCATGGCGCTTGGTGCTCTCCGGATGGTTACATCGCGGGTGTGCTAAATCGGTTTCCCCATGAAATCCAAGGAGCAAGAGGGCCGCATCACCACACCACCTCGAACCTCAGCCAGGCCCATGGGGGGTGAAACATCGGAGCGGAACTGCCTAGGGGGGGCATGAACCTCCAAACCTCGCTCATTTCCAGGAAACAATGCAACCATGTCAATGTAACGGACTCTTTTATCGTGGAACCACCATGAGGCGATCCGTCAACCTGCCAGTGACGAAAAGTATATAACCCCTAAGTACCCTCCCCGTGATCAACACTTAACTTCTGGTTCCTCATCCTCAGCACTTCCTTTCCAGACAGTCTCAGGTCAACACCATCAAAATGGTTGCTTTCTCCTCCATCCTTCTCGCCGCCACCACGGCCATCTCTGGCGTCTTTGCCCTCCCCGGCGAGCTCCCCGGCCAGGGCAGCCTCTTCAAGCGTCAGACCTACACCTCGTCGGCCACTGGCACCCACAACGGCTACTACTTCTCCTTCTGGACTGACGACCAGGGCAGCATTCAGTACACCAACGAGGCTGGTGGCCAGTACAGCGCCAAGTGGTCCGGCAACGGTAACTGGGTCGGTGGAAAGGGTTGGATGCCCGGTACTGATCGGTATGTTTTCCTTCTTTGCTTGCCTCCGGCGGCCACTCCGTGGAGGAGTCCTCGCTTCGCTCGACACATGTACTAACTTGTTAACAATAGCACCATCAACTACACCGGCACCTACTCCCCCAACGGCAACTCGTACCTCGCCGTCTACGGCTGGACTCGCAACCCTCTCGTAGAGTACTACGTCGTCGAGAACTTCGGCACCTACAACCCCAGCACGGGCGCCACCCGTCTCGGGTCCGTCACCTCGGACGGCGGCGTCTACGACATCTACCGCACCCAGCGCGTCAACCAGCCCTCCATCGACGGCACCGCCACCTTCTACCAGTACTGGTCCGTCCGCCAGCAGAAGCGCACCGGCGGCTCCGTCAACATGAAGAACCACTTTGACGCCTGGACCCGCTCCGGCCTCCAGCTCGGCACCCACAACTACCAGATTGTCGCCACCGAGGGCTACTTCTCGTCCGGAAGCAGCACCATCAATGTTGGCGCCAGCGGCGGCGGCGGATCTACTCAGCCTGAGAACCCTACTACTCCTACTAACCCCACCAACCCCGGCAACGGAGGCGGATCCGGCACCTGCTCGGCTAAGTGGGGACAGTGCGGTGGTCAGGGATGGTCCGGTCCTACTTGCTGCGTGTCTGGATCGACTTGCCAGGCTGCTAACCAGTGGTACTCTCAGTGCTTGTAAGCGGACTCCATCGACATGGAGTCTGTGAGCGAGCGGGGGATGTGAGATGTCTTGTCGAAGCATCGTGTTTCTCGGTCGCGAGGGGGGACTGAAAGAGGGACGCAGTGGTTAGTTTGAGGGTTGAAGGATGGCTTAAGGGTCTTTCGGATGTCTGAATGGGCTTGACTGTTTGCGATGGAGTTGGTGTTGGTGTCGTGACTGTGGTCTGTTGGCTTTGGCGGACGGATTGGGAAGCGGATCGTGTGGTTGGCGCATGATGGTTCTCGGATCGACGCGCGCATTCTTGTATATAGTTGTGTAATGCTTGCGGTTGCGCGGGCGGTGCAAATAACAGTTGTTGGATATCTTCTTGTCTCATGTGTCTTGTCGCGGTGATACAGTTGAAGATGAGGAAAGTGGGCTGTTCGCTGAGAAGTCTTGCCAAATGTTGTTCTGCACACGGTGGATAATGCGATATCATCATCTAGAACCGTCGTGACAAAACGCGGAGAAGTTGGCAATGTACCCAAAAAAAAAAACCCACACAAGGAAACAGACAATCGCGGGCACAAAACTACCTAGCAAGGAGCGTGGTGCTGAGATCGGGCACAACCCAGTAGGCAAACATCCAACCACCTGAACACAAGAAGTTACCAGTACCACCAGTACTAGCAGCCGTACCAGCATTACCAGCCCACGTGTATCTGACGGCGGCACAAGAGGTGTATATACACACTCCGCAGACCCTCTTTCAACAAAAAGCGTGATTGGCGTAGTGGTTAACCCGTTCGTTCTTCAAACGGCACTTCGAATACTTATGGTGTTCGTTGTCGGGCTGGGGCCCTTGCCACCTGATAGTGGATGTTCCCAGGTTCGAATCCCGGATCGCGCAATTCTTTTGCATATTTCTTTGTCTTTGTGCTTCTTCTTTTTCTTGTTGTTTTCTTTTTGTCTTCTTTTTGCTTGTGGTACTCTGGGAGCTTACCTGGGTTGATTAGAGGAAGGATAGAGGAAGGAGAAGGGAGATGATGCTGCATTTGAGTTGCCAAAGGGAAGTGAGAAGGAGCTCTTTCCTTGTGTTTGAACTTGTTTAGTTCTTGCAACGAGGAACGGCGCGTTCGACAGGCAAAGATCTGTCACCACTTATAGGAAAGAGGAACCACGCACAACTTCCATTGTTGTACAGTACTTTCGTTCACCTGGGCTGACAGGCACTCTTTTCCTCTTTCCATCTCCAAACGATCAGTGAACCAATTATTTGATACTGGCAAAACTCATTCTTTTAGATCCATTGCACACGCTTTAGGTTCCATTCCCATCAATCCTTGGCGTTGTCTTCGAAATCGAGGCTGCACCACTTTGTCCTCCCAAATGCGGTCCTCCAGAGCCGGAGGATTCCACTTTCCACTTTCACATCTTGTTCGATCACGGTTGCAACTTGGGATTCAATGAATTGCCTCGGAAGTTTCACGATCGCAAATCGCAAACATAATTACCCATTATGTTGCGGGCGCCTCGAGAAGAGGGGATGTCATTCACAGCCATGGTAACTTGACATTCACTGTAAAAAAACGGAGGGAATCATTCATAGATCAGTGAATACCAAATTTTCTGTTTGTGAGTCAAACTACCTATGGTTCACAGGAATTGCTCAGGCAGCGGCGCGAGCCTCATCGAAAGCGGCGCAGAAAGAGGCATGGTCGTGGACGGCACGCGGGATGATGCGATGGAGACCCTTGATGCAGAGAACACACCACACGTCATCGTCGGGGGACCGGTAGTGGGCCATAGCGGTCTCGCTACCCTACGCTTCATCTTGTCGATATTCAAACCCTTGATGACCTCGTCCTTGATGTTGGCAAAGGTGGCGGCGTTGACCCTGCCAGCCCTGCCGGAGGGAGTGGAGGCGTTGGTCGGGGCCGAGGGCAGAACGCCTTGGGGGTAGGCTTGACTTTGTCGGGCTTGTCTTCCTTGGCCTCTTGCTACCTATCCTTGGTGACCTTGGCTTTGGCACGACTGACCTTTGCGACTTTTGCGTCCGCCTTGGCGTCCACCTTGAGACCGGGCTGGTCCTTGGGGGTGGTCTTGATGAGTTGACGGAAGGTGTGAAGTTAACTTGAGAGAAGTGCGAGGCGGAAGCGAGACGGTTGCAAAGAAAACTCACCCCCTTCTCCTCCCCACGCGGCTTGCAAGCCACACCATACCCAACCCCAAGCCGGACCCCAACACCAACCCACCACTTGCTACCCCCTTCGGCTTCCATCGTGCCTAGGCCGTGTTAGAACCGTCAGAGGCACCAGCTTCTCATCCTCCTCCTCCAAAACGTCCCCTCCCGTCTCCCGGAATCTTCTTGCAGCTCCATAGAGCATCAGTCAACCCTGTGAAGATTGTCCATGGCAGTTAGCCACAATGCCTCCGTCATACGAAGTTCCGTGGTTAACATTTCAATGCTAAGGTACTCACAGCATTGTCAAGCGCAGCGACAATGGTCTCGATGTGGTGCTCTTCCACATCCCGCGCTCTCAGGCGCGCACGCAGCGCCGCCCAGCGGTCTTGTTGCCCTTGCGGGCCCGAGTTCATGTTGGTAGTGGCCTGGTTGGCCATTTTTCTTGTGCTATGTTTCGGTGTCAGTTTGGGATTGGGATGAGATGGGGCAGGTACTTCTATGTGAAGTACTATTGAGCGATGGTTGAGCCTCTCAGTGCCTCCTCGGCTTCGTTACTGAACACGCCCCAACCCTTGCGGGATCTCATGGCCCAGAATACACAGTGTCAAGGCATGGTGACCTAGATTGCAATAAGTAAAGCCCAGATTATCTCTGTGGTTTGGCTTGGTTACGGGACTTCGGTGCAAGGGTTTGAGAGTGTGTCAGCGCCAGCCAACCTAACTGGCGAAACTCCTGGACCTTTTCCATCCACCAGCTGTTCCTGCTTGTTGATGTCCTCGCGGAGACCACTCTGGTTGGCGGAGATCGGCTCCTGGCTCGGTGACCTGGGCCCCTCATGGGTGACGAACATCGGCTCCTCTATGTCCTCTAAAAACGACTCCTCTACCTCCGTGTGATGCGATAGGAAAGAAGGTGAAGGGCTTGAGCTTACCTACTTTGAATGTGGTGACTGGTGAGGTTGAGGAAAGAACGGCGGTTGGTATCCTGGGGTGGATGATACGCATTGCGGACGAAGAAGGGAATGAGGAAAGGAAAAGGAAAGGATAAGGAAAGGGCAAGGAGTAAGAAGCGAAAAGGATGGGAAGAAGGAACCGCGTGACGCGCGACGCGTGTTGCTCTTCGGTCTCGGAAAAAAAAAAGGAGAATACGGTATTTTTACGGGCAGAGGGGTAACCTCATAATTTCGGACGATGGGGAGACGACAAGATGAGCATGCACTTTGACAGGACGAATTCTGGGGAGAAGTGTCCTAGAAGTAATGACCTCCCCCTTTTTGTTGTGATATCACCATGTATGCCGTCAAAGTGAATTACCTGTGTCCAGAATAACCCAACCATCTACGAGATTCCTCAAGGCTGAGCGGGCGGGCCGTAGTAAGAGCCATAGTTGGGCGGGTAGTAGAAGTTCTGGGGCAAGGCTTGAGGGTGTTGGTAGTAGTGGGCGCCGGGGAGAGGGCCAGCAGCGGGACCAGTGGGAGTCGCGGGCGCAGCGAGGTGTTAGGCTTGCTGAGCTTGCTGGGCCTGCTGGCGAGCGGCCTCCGAGGTTGAACATGCTATCGGCGACACCCTTGCTGCCAACGCCTATGAGGCTCCTGACATTATCGATGGCATTGATCTTGGCGAGATCTAATAGGTAAGTTCCTCGCCCGTCTTTTCCGTTTCTGGGATGTTATTCATTAATGGTCGTTACGGGCGGCTGCTACTTGATAATGTGGTATTGTGTGCATAGGATCTTACTACGAGCCGCGACGACCAACATTCACATGCTGTATACGACCGACGACTGGAAGTCCTTGGATAGTTGGCCGTTCAAGTTCGTGGAATGGACTGGGTTTCACCAACATATTACATCACCATGTCACCATATCACCAGTTAACAGTTTGAGCATCAAGATGAGTCATCATCAGGCTTTTTATTTTGAGGGAGCTTCCCCCCCTCCCTCCACGCACAACAGGCCCAGTAGGCATTGTCTTTCCCGTTGCCGGGTACTGGCCGCGGCCATCTACCTCCTCAATCCCCCCGGTATTGTCAAGGCGCCAGGTCGCCCTTACTCGTAGAGGGCCTCCCACTCCCTCTCGCGCTCCTTGAGGTACTGTTGGAAGATGAACGGTGTTAGCAGTTGTTTCATGACTATGTGGTGTTGAGGATGACGGAGCAGATGTCGACAACTGGCAGCAGAGTGACACATTCCAACCAGAAAGTCGACACTACTGACTGCCGGCTGCGTGACATGGATCCCGTCTCTCTCTTGGCTGCTTGGGTGGCTTGGGAGTTAGAATAGGGTAGGGTAGGTATTTACGTACGAGCTGCCACCACCAGGCCTCGACAAGCCTCTCGGTGTCGTTGGCCGAGAGGCCCAGCGCTCTCGAGAGGAGCGCGCGCCAGAGGTCCCAGAACAGCCCATGAGGGGCGAGGCCGGGGGCCAGGACAACGGTGTTCTCGGGCATTGTTCTGGTGTTGGTGATGAATGTCAGCTGGAGATCAGGATGAAATTTGGCAGATATATAGTGGGACGCGTTTGGAAGTTACGCGTCCGGCGAGGGAATGAACGAGCGAGGTGGTTGATATGATTGTGAGAGAGGAGAGGGAAAGAAAAGACACGCGCGAAGGCTGGAGGCTCGTGGTAGCCAAGATGTCCAGAAACCCAAGTTGTCTTGAGTGACAAGGGGTGAGCGAATCTTGAAAGTTGGTGGTAATGTTGGAGGATTTGGGAGAGTGTAGATTACATCGTGGCCAGAGAGAACACAGGGAAGGACGTAGGTAGGTAGGAAGGTAGGTTTCTGGTGGCTCGAAGTTTTCTTTTTGAGAGCTGGGAGAAGAAAAAGTGGTCTTCTGGAGATTGAAGATGCGCGTCGCCATGAGGAAAGATGGGAAAGAGGGAAGGGTGAACGAAAAGTAAGGGCGATGGGTGCTGGGGGTAAGGTGGTCGACCTTACGGTGCCACGGTGGAATTTAATCAACTTACATCGGAGAACACGAAAAAGAAGGGGTATCTACTAGGTAGGCAGAGGTGCACTGGTAGTTTGGTAGTGCTTGGGAGAAGAAAAAAACGCAGTCTTCTAGAGGTTGAAGATACGCCTCGCGATGAAGGGAGAAGAAGAAGAGAAAAGGAAGAAGAAAAAAAAAACAAGAACAGAATTTAAATACCTGTACAGTTATTGGAAAGGCCCATTGCAAATCACTCCTCGGGACCGAACAACGGAGAGTTACTCCATTGGTGGAGGGGTAAAACCAAACGAGTCCTGCCTCTGCCTCCCGTCAATATCTACTGCGATGGTTACCTAGTAACCGAGGATTTCGTCTCTTCTCATTTCACTTTTTCCTGTATTCGAAAACTTCATATCTCATTGACCGTTGATGCCAGTTCACGTCCCGGGAAGGCACACCGCTGGCTCTCAAATTTGTAGTGTCCTCGACATATGACGTGGCCTATTCCTTCAACAATCTCTCAATTTTGACTCAGAATACTTTCACGTCGGGTGTGTCGGCGCACAGTCATTCCCAAAATATCTGATTCTTGCCTGTGTGGATAGAAAGTGTACCGGCGAATGCCTGCATGTCCTGTTATTGAAGATGTTCACTTTGCAGCTTCTCGGGATTGACATTTGGAACTTGTTGACGTTGTGATTGCCTGGTACTACGCGGGAAGAGTGATTCTAGACTAGCATACCGCCTCTTTCCGTTGAATTTTGCCCATCACTTGCTGTCCACCTCAGCTTGATCGTTCTTCACCACCTTGAGTTCCGTATTTACCTTTGTTGTAAACCCGATCGCCATATGCAAGCCTTTGGCCCAGCTCTCGCCAGTAGCCTGCCCCTATGTTTGAGCTGCGCCGAAGGAAGTTGTGACAGGTTTGTTGCCATGGTCTACGTCGTCAGCACTGGGACCTGCCGTGGATTATGCTGTTATCGGAGTTCTGAGACGTGTTTTCATGAGTTTATACTGTTACATCATTTGGTTCCGTCATATTGTGACGAACCGTTACAAGCACAGGAGTATTATCGCTGGGATAGAACAATAGAGTAACAGTGTAGTAGCCAAAAGGTACTGGTAGATTGTGATAGCTATTGCTTGCTGAAGAAACGGTAACAAGAGGCCGGGGAAGGCCTTCTTTTATACCGGTCTTCATGGACCCGATATACTGGACCCGTGGACCCGAACCTTCGTCTCGGGTCCGATCTGATTGGTCGGCTAGTCTAGTCTCCATGATTGGATCGTAACACATATATTGGCGGCTCGCCCACTGGGCGATTCGATTACAAGTGTTGGGCCGCGTTTACGCTATGGGCAACACATGATTTACACTGGCAATAGGCCTCGGTTTGCCCTCGGATTAATGGTTTTGGTGGACAGTTAGGGCATTGCTCTTAATTTTGTATGCTAGACTCACCGGTGCGGCACGTCTCATGCCCTACGGGAGGCGGAAGTAGACGTTAAAAATAACAACAACAACAACAACAACAACAAAAGTGAAGATTGCTGCTTATATGCACGTTGAAGAGAAGATGGCTTCGACCAAGTCCTCATCAAGCTCCTTGACGCTGACATGGAACGAGGCAGGGCCTATATGCGCATTCTATACAGTGTTCTCCGGAACCAGTCCGTGCAAGGCCCTGTAAAGGCAGTCCGTAAAATGAGCTAGCCTGGCGTCTTTGTTTGGATAGGAGACAAATGTATCAATGAGATCGTCCATGTGCTCTGAACATATGAGAAGCAGCGTCTCGCGGGCAGTTTCTAGGTCTTGTTCTGTGGACGACATTGTGATTCGTTGTAACAAGGGCAGTGTTCTGGGCTTGGAACAGTAGTTCAATTCCGCTGATAAACTACTTTGGTCTCGAAGGCCTTGTTGATCTTCTCAACCTCCAGGAGAAGGTTGGGCTTCCAGGCCTTCTTATGCCAAAGGGAATCGGTACGTACTTGAGGTACGTATCAAGCCTTGTTGCCTGAGGCTTCAAGGCCTCTGTCTAGCAGTCTGCATACATGTGGATCTTTATGCCTTCATCTATTCTCCATCTTCCTTCTGGCGCTGTCATTCGTCTGTGCGCCGTGCTTCTTGCTTGGTTTGGCTGTGCTACTTCTGGGGATTGTCTCATGATGTTTCAACAGTGTTTCAGCACTTCCCTAGTTGGCTCGCTAGCCTAGTAGTGTCGGAAGGGGCTCGGGTAAGTAGTACCCGTGGCCGAGAGTCCGGCCGAGGTGAGGATCGTAGCCCTGGGGTCACCGGGCATCTCGAGGCTCATTCCAGGTGTTGAGGCTCTGCTGAGCCTTGCAACCCTAATCCTTGGACTGTGGGCAATGTCCGTGTGACATTTGTGATGTATGGAAAATTCTGAGGGAGAGAATGGCTAAGTAAGGTAATGCGCGGTTCCAACCTTCAAGTGAGCGAAAACTTTATAGTAGCCTTGTGCGAAGGGAAGATCTTTATACTTCTAATCTTTAGCAACATTTCGCTGTTCCGTATGAGAAACACAATTCCTGGTTATAGCAAGTATTGTGGTAAATCGTCAACAAGTTTCTAAAGGTGTTTGGGAATCCAACCACACTAACACATGCAGCAGGAGATAGTCACGTACGAAGCTGATCAACTTGAGAGGACTAAAAGAGCAAATGATGCTCTGGATGACTCAACCCCGATAGTGACTACAGATCTTTACCTTCAAGATGCCAAAGAGCTTCATTTTGATAAATGGAAGCCGACAGCTATATCAACGAGTGTCGATGGTTCATTTGTAGGCTAGCCACTCTGGAAGTGCAAGTGTGGATGCTCTGGTGGGTTCAGATGTCATACTAACAGCATCACCACTACATATGCGGAGGTGCTGATAGAGCATTAACTCCACCCTCCAACTGGTAATATGGAACCTACAACACTTGACAGACACTTGTCGACAACGAGGTTAGAAAACATTTCATAAGCAAGTAGGTAGTTTAGATATCAAGTTCGATGGATATTCCAGTCTTTGGTTTTTTTGTAACTCCAGGCATGATTGATGTCTCTGACCCTTTCCATGAGCAAGTGTCCTTTCGCCCTCTCCACCAAGACACAACAGATCTGATTCGCGCTATTTCCATCCCTTATCTCAATGCCCAAAGTACCGCGCAACCACCATCCTGGGTACTTGTTGTTGTTGAGTGACTAAGTAATGAACTGCGGGAAAACCTATGAGTAATGCTGGAAAAGACGTTGAATGTCTGTGACTTGGGTATGCTTTGCTTGGGCAATGCTGAAGAAATGCTTTCCTCCAGTTGTTGTTTGACGACTGATTGTCCGCAGATGCACCTTCAACGGTTGACTGCTCCAACCCTTCGTCCACCTCGGGTATTTCATGCATGGAGACACCGACCAAGATGGTATGGTGTCTTGCACGTCATTGACTGTTCGGCGACGGATAAACCGGATCAGGTGGTTGGTTTTCGTTGTTGTGTCGTCTTCACGCCAATGGTTCCTGCTTGACGGTGGTAGGATGCTGCTGGAGCTGCTGGACTGAAAAGCTGCTCGACAGATCACGCCACTGAATGACGCTGGCAGCGTGCTTGGCCTGGCAAGAACGGTGTTAGCTTTGGTGTAGAAGAGAATGTACCTCTGGTGAAAAATGTGGAAGGTACCTACAGGTTCTTTGATGTTGCGTCAGACCGGCCTGGCGTCAACAACAGTTAGTTGGAGTTAAAGCTACCTCTAGTCTCCGTCTTGATGTCGCCTTTAGGGACAGGCGCATAGCCATGGTCCGCAAGGACAGAAACCCTGGCAAAACTGGCAGCGTAGAGCTTAGCACCAGCAGGAAGGCAAAGCGTGACGCGAGCTCCGTTCAGTTGTACGCCGTACGACATGGTAATGGTACCATTGCCCTCGGTCTTGAACCACCTCGGCCGATCATAGGTGACACTGTGGTGTACCCTCGTTGCGTTTCCAGCAGCGGGAGCGGCAGGCTGGGTCCGGAGCGGGCCCTCCACAATCTTCGCCAAACAACGGACGAAGTGAACCAGCCAACCGTCGCGGTTGGGACTGTTCATGTACCTGACGCTGATATGGTACACTCTACTGTGCCAGATGGCATTAATCTCCGTGCTTGCGCTTTGCATCTCAAGGACGCGAACCGCAGGGCAAACAGCTTGAGTCGGCGCCGGCGCGTGAGGGCGAGGCACGTTTGAAGCAGGCTCCGATCCCTCTTGAGGAGGTCCTGCCATGATCACGGCAAGGCAACGGATGCAGTAGATGATCCATTTGTCGCGGTTGGTGTGGTTGAGGTAGGAGAGCGTTAGGTTTCTCTCCCTGGTCGTCCAGAGGGTGTTGAGTTCCTCGTAGGCCCCCATGTATAGAGGGACGACCGGGCCAGTGGACATCGGGGCTTCAGGGGCGCGGTTTGCCATGGTGACGGCAAGACCAAGGTGACAAGAAGTAAATGGTAAAACCTGCTGAAAAAGAGCGTAGAATTAGCGTTTGATTCAACGAAACGGTAATCTTTTTTGTTGTTGTTGTTATTATTTTTA